TTAGGATATAATTCAACTATTCAAATTAAGTTATACCTGGCTTAACATAACAGGATTATTAACATGTGAGGATTGCGGTGATCTCCTGTTGCACGGTATGATTTTAATGCTTGCGGTTAAAGTAGAAAGGCAAGATTTAGTATCAGGTATTTATTTAGTTTTTTTTTGTTTATTTTTATTTTTTTTTTATTGGTCTTGCTGTGTTTTGCAATCTGAATTATTGCTATTGTAATGATATCATTATCTTTTTCATATTTCTCACATTATTACTGTGTATTTTTTATATGTTTGTTAATTAATGGTGAGTTGCACGGGTTATCCTCATTAAATAAATTTCAAATAAATAAATAAAAAGATAGTTTAATGTTGACATAAATTATTGTCCCCTCAGTTAGGTTTTGAAATGAACACGCTTTGGTTTATATCCTTTGATATTGAATTCTTCCTTTTGTTTTTTCTGGTTTCAATTAGCTTATTCGACTGGTTCATTTTGTTGACTATGATTTTTCGTTGAATATTATTTTCATTCGACCAGTTTGTAAAATAGACATCGTTGACAATGAAAATTAACGTAAATCAGAGTGTGTGAATCAGCGTTAAGTTATTCACGTGACCAAAAACAAACATGGCTAATTAGTCAGTTTAGCTATGTCAACATTTGCGTTAATATAATTTAAATTAAATTTTAGAAAATAATATTTATACACCTGAAGTCAAAAAATAATTGTAGGCTAATGGAATTCAAAAACTTGATGAAAACTTTTTTACGAAAAACCCATACTGCCACAATCCGAAGCAGCCTTCATTAACCAGGGTGTATCGCGGTAACTATGCAGCCATTTTGTTTTGTCGAGTATTTACCAGTTTTCTATTCGAATGGGCATTCTATTTCATCTTCATTGAGTAGGATTTCACCACTGTGCAGGTGGGCGTGGTTTAATGACCAGTCGAATACAGCCATTATTTGTACAAAACCAGTACCATATTTCCTTTCGTAAACTTTATTTCCTCTTTTGCAGCATTGTGTTTATATTATTACCTATTTGTTTACATGGTTTAAGCTGGAATCACATTGGATCGAACCAAAATTCTGACCAATTTCCAATGCACTGACCACCAGCGTCTCTATTCTTACATGCTGATCCAAATTTCTAATTGCTTCAGTAGGCTTCCCAATCCGGAAATATGTATTTGGAGTGGATACACCATTTATCGTAGTGCTGCAGCTCATAGCATAATGTTCAGTACACTCAATATATTTGGAGATATATACATTGTTTCCTTTATTACTTTATGGACAGTACATTATTTTATTTTCAAAGTACCATCTTCAATTTTGTAAACATTAAATGTATTTCCTCCATTGGAACATTTTGTGTAATAATATGAGGTTGTGCCAAAATGGCTAAGTTGTAGCAAAAATTGAAATTCAAGTTATTGGTATTTTTAGATACCTGAGTATGTGATCTTTAAAATGAGTGGTCATTCATTGAAATTGGACATTTCAAGCCTAAGTTATTGTATAGTGAAAGTACAGCACTCTTATACCTAATTCATACATACAAAAATCTTACCAAATGTAACCAAAAGTAACATTTTAAGGCACGTGTGAAAGTACTGTACCTCCGTGTAATATCCTTGTAAAATCTCGGAATGTCCCGGTAATGCTTACCAGCCTCGCCGAGGCTAGTAAAGCTTCCGAGATGTAGCATGAATGGATCTGCGCATGCGCAGGAATTTCAACACAACAACAATCTACTGTGTTTGCGGGGTTCTTTGAATTTTCTTCCTTCTGCAGACGATTCCGATCCACTAGAAATAGATAGGCCTAGTTTTTCTCAATGATCAATGAATTATTCTTGTTATCGATGTTAATTAGTAATGGTAGAAGAAGATACAAAAATGAATGTTGGGATTGTGTTAGTACTATTACTAGTATTATCAAGAGTCGATAGAAACGTCGGTAGCTAGGCCTAGTAGTAGTTAAGGGCATTGATTGCTTCGAATATTTACTGTGATGGTGAGTTCAACAGTCCATCTATGACAGGGGTTCTCAACTAGGCCTCGGCTAGACCTATATCGCAGTAAGGGCAAAAATGATTCATTGAATAAAATTGAATAAATTTCACACGACCTTGGCATTACCTTACAAACACGTGTGAATGCTTTATATCTCGGTAGGAATAACTCAGAAGATGGCTCAGTTACAATTTGTTACTTTTTGTTGAATTTAACTTCACGTGTTAATCGGGTATTAGAATAAAAATAAACATGATTTTGAGTAATTGCCTTTCAAAGGTATTTGTTCATACATTGTTTAATAGAATTAACTATCAGGATAACGTTTAAACGATTTGTTGACCACTTCCAGAAGTAATACTTTGGGACATGATTAATAAGATATTAAACTATTGATCTATAGTGAAAAACAAATTTGGATTTTTAGGCAATTTTTTGAGCTCCCATATTTTATAGCTCATTTACTCAATACTGGCCTGTGCAACAACTTAACCATTTCGCCACGACATGCCTCATATGACTTCCAAAGACTCGCCAGTGCAGCTCAAATTTACAGTAGGCCTACTGTAGTGTTACCTGTAAGTACACTGTAGTTTTATTTCCTTCATTTTGCTATGGACAATACAGTACAATATTCGTACAATACCATCTTTCATTTCTTTGTGTTATTTTTTGTTTATGTGGTTTTAAATAGGGTAGCTCAAATGTTGAGCTCACCAGAGCCCACATATTGTTAAAATACAGTGTAGTTTTGTTCCCTTTTCTGTGACCGCCCGTAACAATATTGAGGTCAGTGAACTGTATGTTGTCAGATCCTCTGGACTGTATGTGGGTCTTAACCTTGATCAACTATGTGGTCACAAGTAATCAGTGGTTAATTGGCAATGAGTTTGGCAATGGTGGGTAGATAGCAAATCTTTCAACTGAGGTCAAATCTTAAGGTCAATTATGTGTTTGCGTGTCTTGTCTTTTTAAGATCTTATTAATTACTTTTGTAATTACATTTACAATTTTACAACTTGTAAGTTCTTTATTGAAAAATATGTATGGGGATTTACTGTACATGGCTCATACTGTACTGTAAGTACCTAAAACTAATTCTTATAAATGTGTTCACTTATTTTTTCTTATATTTATTTTTTTCAATTTTACATTATTTTATGTATCTTCACTATAATACACAGACTTTTCTTGAAACAAGTTTTCCTTGGTTAAAATAAAGCTACCTACCTGTAATTATTATTATTTTATAATATTTATGTGTCTGCCTTCGGTATTGTACTATTTTAGTGTTCTGATGAATGGTGTTTATTAAATCTTGAAGAATGGTTTCATGTATGATTTGAACCTAGGAATGTTGTATATTAAGGCAAGCAGTAACATAATCAAGACATAGGTCCACTCCATTTAGTAGATTCCTTATATTAAACCACTAACAACATACTGGTATGGATGTAATCCCAGAGAGTGAATAAACACAGGTCAAGGTTCAAGTTTAAGGGCACATCCTCAACGACTTGACACAATACAGTGTCTTGAAAGTAGTTATTATTTATAACAGTTTTAATGGAGGGAACTTCCTTTACAGATAAAGTATTATGATGCCCCTGTGCCAGTTACATTATACTTCTCTAGGGGCTCATACAGTAATGTTGTAGTAGTTAGTTTTGTATTGTACTTCGATGACTCATACTTGGTAGGTAGATCAATTGATGGATTCTCTATAAACACAGCTGGTCATGTGACAATGACTTCTTATTGGATGGACTATTATAAATTTTGACCTGACTGTAGCATTTGCATGGAGGATCATGTTAAGACCTATACAGTAGTAGGTTGCTGAGTCAAATGACTTGGTACTCTCATAGTCTTAATAGGGTCAAGAATAGAGCTACTAAATTTTAGATAAGATTTACAAAAATATAAAAATTTGATATTAAATTGACATTGTATAGTGTAATAATTGAAGATATCAAAGTATTGATATTCTCAATCGCTTGTTTTAGTGATGGACTGTACTGGAGCAGTTTGCTTGTGCCTTTAAGGGCCTGTTTCTCGCAGTAGGAACGGGACCAGTTTGAAAAAAGCGATTAAAAAAAATCGATTAAAAACACGCAATGGATAGCGTGTTTGAACGGCAAATAACCGATTTTGGCTTTGCACCTTTTAGCTGCAACACAAAAAAAGCGATTATCAGGTGAAATGTGACCTCCAGGCCAATCACTGCAAAGACTAGATCGTATTAGGCGCGAACTTTCAAAAATGATTTGTCCTCTTGTTCATGTCTTAGGCCTACAAGCTAAAAACATCAACAAACTTGAGAAGTGACGAATTCGTTTTGTAATTATCTTGTGGTGGGGGGGATATTCGGCCTAGGACTCTCCGCTCTTTTTGGCCTACCGTCCTCGTTTGGTCATCGTCGTTTGGTCATCATGACAGGAATGAGAAAGATACTATCCTATACAGTTAGGAAAACAATGTGTTGTATAAACAAAATGGTGACGTACAGTAATTTCCGTCACGAAAACCGATTTTCGAAAAATAAAAAATGCAGTTGCAATGCCAGCAGGCTGTCTGGTACTCATTAAAAAAAATGGTTTTAAAAAATTGATTATTTTGTGTTTATCAGTAGAAACACGCCCTAAGTCAAAGAACTTTATACCTGCATTTGTCTCTCTCTCCTTCCACCCATGAGTATAAGATGGATACCTATTAGACTAAAATGCTAATATGCTAATTAATAATAAGCAGTATTATGGAATGCTCGCCCAAGGGAGCTGAATATGTTCTGTGGGTATTTGATCCACTAACTGAAAGGTCAAATAACTTGGAGGTCATGCTTAGCATGCTTTGATATATTGATATTTTTTTTTATTTTAACATTTAATTGTTATTTTTGAAATTATATAATTGATAAAATGAATGAAATGAAATATGAATTAAAATGAAATTGTATTTTTTCCGATGTTCTTTCTTTACAGGAATAATTTGGTCTTCAAGCAACTCAATAAAATATGGCACAGGGTTCAAGAACAATGAAATGTGTGGTAGTGGGTGATGGTGCCGTAGGTAAAACCTGTATGTTATGGTCCTACACAAGGAACCAGTTTCCAAGAGAATATATCCCAACAGTGTAAGTAGTGATTAAGCCAAATAATACTAGTTTCTTGTCTCCTCGCACATCCATTTTCTCTGCCTCACTAATTTTTTTAATTATTATTATTTCCTTTATTTTATGAAAATCGGGCTAACTCGCATCAGTAAAATTCCTCTCTCGATCGTTTGTGATTGGGGATACATTTGGTATGAATCATGTCTAGAGCAAGTTTTATTTGCTTTCAGTATGTCTACTTGGTAAAAGTGAGAAAGTAGTACTGTTTCTCATCAACCATCTTGGATTTGCCATCTCAGAGTAAAGAAGAAAAAGTGGTCTTAGTTGGCCTTATAGATAATCAAGAGCTGATGTTATATCTACCCTAACATTAAATAGATTGTCCTGTACAGTACTGTAGTTCCGATGTTTTTATTTACAATACATAGAATTACTTTGCTAATAGGGTAACAGTAGTCACGAAGTCGGGAGACAGAATTTTCTACCAATAGATTTAACTTGGGTCTTCAAGCCGTGTTTTATCAGATCAGTATTGGAGAAACTGGCGGTATTAAAAAGAATTACACATCAATGGGCTCCTACTGTATACAGTAACAATGCTGTTATAGGATGACAAAAATTAAGTTGAAGTCCCATACATACAGTATAGAATGGTAATTAAATTACAGTAGAATAACATTCCTTACCTAAATTCTTGAAGATCAGTACTGTATTAGCCAGGTTCAAAGCAGAAAACCTTTGTAAGAAAGAATAATCCTTCATGACTACGCAAGCATGCACGTCCTTGTACAGATGTTCCATATTTTGGTCATTGAGTAATTTTGCAGTTTTTGTGTTTATTTAATTTTATCTTTATCTCCTCCTCAGATTTGACAACTTTTCACAACCAATGAAGGTGGATGGAGTGTCTGTAAACCTTGGCCTTTGGGATACAGCAGGTCAGGAGGATTATGATAGGTTACGACCTCTTTCTTATCCACAAGTAAGTTCATCATTTACTCAAAGGTTTGTATGGCAGACTCAGTGTTGCCCTCCAGGTTCTTAATTCATCACTGTACTGTGAAGCGTAGTACTCCTGTCTTATGAAATTTGATATTATTATTATTCCAATGGCGTGTTTGCATCAGGAGAAATGATACGAATCGATTATTTATTTTTATTTATTTTATTTATTCATTCTGAAGTAATTATGAGTAAAATACATTCAAGGATAAAAACACAGAAAAGTACAAAAAAGCAACTTATTTCCACTGTGGTCCCTAAATGAGAATACTTAAATTACAGAATAATACATAATCAAAATGTCCAACAAAGTCAAATTCAATAATCAAAAAGACATCATATAAATAAAGCTATGTATAATAATGTTTGCCCTACTTAATGTGTTATACTATAGTACTGAATCCTAGGTACTGTACATTGCCAAATGCTCACGAAAAAAATCTTGCAAGTGATTCGGGTGGGGATCAAACCTACGACCTCCATAACTGACCTGGTGCCTTAACCACTCAACCACTTGATATTATTCCTAAACAGTTGTTTATACCTATTATATGTTCATATTTTACAGTTGTATATTGAATATGTATGTAAATATTACTGAGTATAATATTATTTATTGTAATAATTATATAGTTATTTTAATTGATAATATAATTTGCTTTCATTTCAGACTGACATCTTCCTGGTCTGCTATCCACCAAGTTTATCAGGAAAATATGGAATCAAACCTGTCTCTTATACACATCGGTAGTTTTTCAAAGTTGCGGAGTAACAGATTGTGGGTAAAAGAAGGAAAAGCTATGACGTGTGTGGCTGAACTGTGTTTGGTTGAATCATGGTAGAAAAAAAAATCAACAATTGTGGTGGCGGGGGGAACACAAATGTACGGTATTATTTATTTAATAAAATAATATTTAATTTGTATACAATGAAATTTTATCACTGAGAGAACAGATAATGATGTCAAAATATTGTATATACATGGAAGCTACATGATCAAAAGTTATTGCCAGGATTTGGTACTGTTGAACCTTGGCGCTGCTGGGCCGCGGCTTGGTGCCTGGAATCGTAAATAGGCCGTGAAGTAAAAAGTTTGCGGAACGCTGCTACAGTGCATTTTGCACTTAACCTCCTTAGGTACCCACTTATACTCCTGGGTGGAGAGAAGCAATGCAGATAAAGTGCCTTGCTCAAGGACACAAGCAAAATGCACAGCGAGGGATTGAAACATACATACGCTGTCATTTTGTGGAACCTCAGCAGTAATATTTAATGGCCCTGTCACACCTTGACGATTTAGTCAGCATATGCCAAACGTATCAAAATTTCTCTAAAACACTGGCATATGCTGAACTATCGATGCTTTTTTCAACTTTGGGTGCATTCATAGCGTATTCATAATGTATTGGATGTATGAATAACATATTAGTTATTATACGTTTTGATTACTTATAGAAAACTTACACGAACGAATGCTTAGCATGTTGCTAGCATTCACAACTTATGCCCAGCGACCTTATGCACAGCGTGCGGCAACATATCACCGATGATCATGTGACGTCGCCTCTAAAAAGGCTGCTGCTTGTCGATTCAAATGATAACCGCACTAGACATCGCAGTATCAACATCACCGTATTGACATCACCCCATTTTAATATACTTATTCCCCTAAACGCTGCCAATACGCCATTATACGATAACTGTAAGTTAGAAACGCGTTCAGTAAGTTTTGTGGTCATCTGACTGGAACACGTCAAATACGTCTACATATGTCAATATACATTGGAGATAAGTTCATTATAAGTTAGATAGAAGTTTGAAGCACGTTACTCATAGGTTAGAAATACGTTTTAACTTTTGAGTACCTTACAAGTAAAGTGTGTCAATGATTGCCTAACTTACCTACAACTTATGGCCTGCGTTTGTGGAACGTACAAGCCATGACGCTGGCATACGTCAAAAAGTTTTGTGCATGCACTAAACTTTCCGATGTACTCGCTGTACTAAGACGTATACCAACGTGCTTCTGCGTGCTCTTAACTTATACGAAACTTACCAATAACATATTCGATGTACGCAAGCGTATTCGCCATTTTTTTCATACGTCGGCATACGCTTGCTAAATCGTCAAGGTGTGACATTGACATAGGAACAGGGCTTGGTGGAAAATGTTCATTATCATCTTTACATTCTTATTTTAATGCATTAATTTATGTCGATTCTTATTCTTGTCTTTAAACCAAATTTTCTTTTTTTAGGTACAAAAGTAGATCTCAGAGAAGATAAAGAGGTGATCAATGAATTGAATAGCAAAGGGAAGAAAGTGTACAGAAAAGAGGACGGAGAAAGACTTGCTAATAAAATTGGTGCAGTTAAATACATGGAATGCTCAGCCCTAACACAGAGGGGCTTGAAAATGGTAAGATGCTGCTGCATTAGAGGATACCCTTTGCCTTAGTTCTTAGAGAGACCAGCATAATTGGCTGTACTTGCAAAAAGGCCGCCTTCGGTGGCCTTTCATGAGGCTGTGAGGCACTAGGGTGGGTCCAGATATTTGCAGGAGGGGGCGCAGAAATAAGGGAACTCCTGTATATTACCTTGGGAAAAATCTTGTCACCCTTGTCATAATGCTTAATATTTATAATTTCAGGTTTTTGAAGAAGCTGTACGCATTGTATTAAATCCAACTCCTATCAAAGATGGCAAGAGAGGAAGGTGTCGAATTATCTGATTTGTCTTTATGAAAAATTCTAAAAAAAATTGAACTGTTGTTAAAAAAAGGACAGTAATAGTAACATCCAAATGTACCCAAAGTTTTACACTCTTGCTACAGATCAAACAACGTGAAAAAAAAAGAGAACAGCACGTGTAAGTCTTTCCAAGAATGAGCAAAAAAGAAATATCCACCAAGTTTATCAGGAAAATATGGAATCAAACTGCCTGCAGGTCTTGCTTTGTGTGACAGGCATTAGATTTTCTGAGGTGTGTTCCTGCATTTTCTACGTAACCATGTTTTCCCCAGTTTCATATTCCTAGCGACAGTAAGATGTTTCCGATCATTAGTGTTTTTATTGTGCTTTAGATAACTAACTAGGATCATATTTAATATGATAATCCTTCGATATGTAAATTTTTTGTTTTTTTCATACACATATGCTGCCAATAATACATTGTCATTTGGTATTGGATTGTGTTGGCCCTTGAAAACATACTTAGGGAGATATTGCTGTTTATAATCATGTAGTTTCTTGCTTAGAATTGTGCCTCTCCACAATTTGTGTTCGTACTACCAAAGAATATAGATAAGGGAAATATTTCCATTCTATGGATTTTGTCATATCAGTTAAAGAATCTGATGTTAACAGAAGATCTATAATTGAATTAATTAACCTGTTACAGCAATTTATACCAACAACTGCATACACACAAATTGTTTCTTCACCAATAATGCTACCAGTTTTTAATGGGCGTTTTTTTTTTTTTAATGTTTAATTTTTTTTCTCTCATTACATAAAATCATGCCTAATGGGATCTCATCCTCATAAATATTCTTTGGTACTAATCAGTGCTTCATGGACTTTTGAGTCATAAACCCCACCTGAACCTTCCCAAATCCCACTGACCATTCCATCTGTTAAAAGCTCAGACTAAGCTCAGCTTTAATGTCTATTTAACTGTTCATTCCCTGCTTAGTATGATGGACCTGAAATTATGTCTCTTAGCCATGCTAGTCTAGGCTTGGCTTTGCATAACCTAGTGCTCAACTACTGTGCTTAGCTTAGCTACTCGTCGGTGCTTAGGACTTTTATGTGTTCAAAGAATACAGTAAGCCGATTTTATAAGGTGTGAATTTCACCAGTAGAAATGGAATCTCCTTTATTAATCATTTATTGGTAGTTGTTTATATGCGATAATGTTGTAATGTATACAGTATAAGAATATGTAGTATGGAGAAAATCCACACTGTTGGACAAAAAGAAATGTTCTGGTATTGAAACCGAATAGCATTAAGGTGGACTTGCAATTGAGGTGGTTGTTAATACGTATGAATATTATATTGGCATGAAAAAGATTCATTAAGCCCTGTCCATATTATCACATTTTATTTGACAAAAACATGTGATATGCCTAAATATGGTCATGATGACATCACATCATGACCATATATAGGCACACCTTGACTTTATATGGACATACAACAGTTTTTTCAAAGAAAATATGATGATGTAGACAGAAATCTATCTTGTTGTGACATGAATCATTTGAAAAACTGAACCTTTCAGAAAGGATCTGTGAAAGTTCTTAATTTTAAGCACATTTTTCGCATCCCAACTTTGCATCTAATTATAAAAACTAGTACGGTATTTATGAAATCTCAGTTTATTCAACTGTTTGTCCTCACAACTTTGTGATCTATGTTAAGCAAGTTTGTATATATCTATAAAGCAATTTCCTAACAATTTTCGATATCTGGCGTTTCTGCTCCCATGAATACTAAGATACTGATCAACATATATCTAATTGGCATAAAAGTAAAAACAAAAGTAAAAACAAAAGTATGAAGTGACCAGGTTTTCCTATTCAAATTTGAGATTTTCACTATTTGCACATTGTGCCAACTCAAACTGTAGGGGGCAGCATTGTTTACTTTGACTGGTCCCTTGTTTTTTGGCTAAAGACATTCAAGTATATGCTCAATGTATTGAATATAAATGTTAGCAGGTTTGTAAAATCTCCCATGCCCAGATGAACAAGGGTTATAAAATATGCATTAGAGGTGTACAACCAGCCATGAGCAATTAATAAGAACACCAGGTATATATTAAAGTAGCCTGTTGTTTACAAGTAAATGTAATAACATTCTAGGACATTTCCTAGGAATATTATATTAAGCTTTTTTGTATTTAGCGCTTAAAGTAAAATGTATTGTAAATCTATCTTCGGTATCAACTGTATTACCACCGTTATGGACATATTATTTTTTCTATTATAAATGTAGTAATAACTTAGCCTGTAGGTAAATAATAGAATTTTTGTCAAATTATCGTCTGAAAATTGTTTATGAAACATATGTATTGAGAATAAATGCTAACATATTCTATGTTTTTTTTTTTCATTTATCATGAAAAAATATTTTTTTAGTTAATTTTACAACTTACATATTTTATATTTTCCTTGGCTTTTTGAAAGAAATGTAGGTAATGTATTCTTTATAATACTTTTAATATTTTTTTTTTATTAACTGTCTTTCACATATTATTGTAACAGGAAAGGTTCATTGTTCTCAGTACGGCCTATCTCACAAAACCACAAGACCATATGTAAAAAGATGTTTCTTTGCAACAGTTTTTTTAAGAGAAGGGGGATAAGCCCCATATTTTGCTAATAAATAAGGATTTATGGGGTAATTCCTGTTTAAAATATAAAAAGCAAGGTAGCCAAAAAAATAATAACGAAGTGGCAAAAGGGAGATTCTAATTCACTTGGCCTAACAAGAACATAACCTATCAATTGTAATCATTCACAATGTATTGGAATTATTGTTATCAGAAGATATTTTCTACCAAATATTAATATTATTCCAAGTAATAGAAGCTAGTTAGTCTTTAATTGGCTTCTGTACTGTATTATGATTTTTGTTGTGTAAATGTACCAGAAAACAGACAAATAATAAGCAATGCTAATACTGTAGTATCATAGTGATGACAACTTGTTCTTTATTAATTTGAGGAGTATAACAAATACCATATTTATGTACAAATTAAATCAACATAAGATAGATTGTCATAGTTGAGTTTTGCAAAGTACTTATGGTACACTGTTGCAGTGATTACCAATGATTTCAGGTCTTTTAATACGCAGTTACCAATGAATTCTGGTCTTTTTTAGCCAGTTTCTATCTATAAAATGTAGAGGGCGCTCTTATGATTAATGTGTCAGTAGAGGGCACCTTTAACTTGGGAAGACAATGTGGCAAGGACATGACATGGTTATTTAATGCCAATGAATTTAAGGCTATTAATTTTATTTATATACAAATTATAATAAAATAATAAAGGGCACCCTTTCATAATTTATTAAGGCAATTGGGGGCACACTTTCATAATTTAGTAAGACAATAGAGGGCACCCTTTAATAATTTAGTAAGGCAGTAGAAGGTGGATTTTCATAATGCGAGACAGTAGAAGACTCCTTGTCATAACTGAAGTCAAATCAAATCAGAGTTAAAAGAATACTAGAGTGGTAACTAGGCGAAGTGGCGAAATTTGTTTATTCCCACCTCCAAGATGACCCCACGTTAGTGCTTGTGCTTTACCACCGTGCCACAATAGGCTAAAGGAGCATCACGCTCACGCCACGGTGGTAATGTGCGTATTCGAAAAATTTATTGCACTTGTTTCAAATGAAATCTTGTGGCCAAAAGTTTGAATGTGGACCCGTCTACGTTTAAGTGCGTGCTATAAGTTATATAATTAGAACTTGTACTCTGACGGTATTCTTGATAATTCTGTAGATCAACTTACATTATGCGATAGATGCACATTGCCCTGTCTCCCGAAAGTCCTGCTCACTAAATTTATGTTTCTAAATAACACTCTGCTTTTACATAATTACAATTTTTGTTTAAATATAGCTTACTGAATCAAGAGAGTTGATGTACTGACTGTATTCCCTGCTCAAGCAGAACCCTCTGTTACAGTGTATGGCATTATGGTCATTGCCACTACAATAGGCCTAGGCTTAGCCAAACCACACAATACACATAGTTCTAGTGAAACCTATATGTCCTAAATGTTATCAGAACAAATGGAATGTTTTATCAAAACTTGCAAATATGCTTATATACATAAATTTACATATTATATATACTCATATACGCAATGTATATACAGTATATGTATGTATAGTATGTTAATATAAAATATATGTAACATGTATATACATATATAAATATAATTATATATGTATATAGTATGTTTACAATACTGTATATGTATAATTATGCATACATATCAGTTTAATACTAATATAGTTGTATATTATGTATGTCTGTGTTCCTATGCTCATTTGTACTTTTTTTTTATTTGTATATTAGTGATCAATTTTTCCCTGTCTATTATAACTAATACGATCAATGTATAGTATGAGTTTTTGAGAATTATTAATCAGTAGATTTTTTAATTAATTACTTTTTCATAATAGAAAGGGTAATCAAAGTAGTTGCCAATATTACTACAATTCCAATGTGAATATATAACGTCAGTGTGATGGTTCATTTGGTCAATAAACATGATTTGTATGCGAAAAACGTTTTTCTGTTATGTCGTCTGAAGCCAGACACACACTGCACCAGTTGACTTTCGTCAAGGTGTGTGTGATGGGTCGTTTTCAACTACAATGTGCTAGGCTGCTACCGATAATCAGCAGGTAGTGTCGCTTTATCAAGCGACGTGGAGATAGAATAGTCAGCCGACATTTTCTGACCGTCTGCAGATGCAGTGTGTGCCTGATTAGCATATTACTATAATAATAGTAATATTGATAATACATATTATTGAAATAAATACTATTATTACCACTATAAATTACTATAGAATTCATTTTCATATTAATAATTATCATTATACCGCTACTAATAATTTTACTAAGACAGTACAGGTAATAATATCAGAAAGTTAATGTAATAATTATAATTATATGATTAATGTAAATATTTGTTTTTTTTAATTTAAACAAAACTATACCTACGATACTATCTTACAACAATTGAAAGAAATACAAAAGAAAAGTAAACTAACTTATAGAAACACTGCATAGATTCATTTTACATACAAGCAACTATACACAATATCGCTATTATTTTAGTCGAGTTCCATAAAATTGATACACGCTAGCACCGACAGATGATTGGTCAATCTAATCTAATCATAGTTGGCGTCATAATTGACAGCTTTTACTATTTTGAGTTACCCTACTTACCCACATTATTATTAATATAATTATGAGTATTTATTTGTGCGATATTAATTAGTTTAGGCGGGGTTTAGGCAGATACGCCTGAACGTGAAATTGTCACAAGATAATGCCAATGTCAACAGCGCCCCCAATGTTTGAATAGCTTTAAAGCCTGCAATATCCAATCTGGTACCATCCAATCTAAACAAGTACAGTATTAGGCCCTATAAAAATATTATTAGTTTATCACCCTATCTGGGCAGGAAAAGTGATGGGGGAGGGAGGCTTTTTTTTCAAATTTTTTATTTTGCTAAAGCCAAAGATCACCCTTGGTTTGTTTGCTGGTGCATTGATATTCAAAGTAAAACATGATTTAGACAATGCAAACAATACTACTATTACAATATCTACTAACTATTTAATAAAATAAATTTTTAAAAATAAATAAATAAAAAAAATTGTTTTAAATGTTCAAAAAATAATTTTTTTTTTTCAAAAATTTTTTTTTCCAGTACCATAGAAGACATGCGCGCGGGGGTGATAAACTAATAATTTTTTTTATTGGGCCTTAGATTAGAATGTTATCTAAAATGGTGCGAATTCTTGACATTCACGCTTGTAGTGTTATAAGTATTAAAAGACGACGATCCACGTCTTCGCCATTGAGTAATTAAGATAATTAGCGTAGTAGGCCTACAACATTCTTGCGAGGGCGACAACAAAAAGCAACAATAATGCATGCATCTTAATTGGTCCACCACTGGCTCCAGATATTAAACTATAGCACTCAATCGCATCCGGGTTGCTGGAACATTGTACCAACATTAACTGACTGTAGAAAAATAAGTAATACATTACATTACAAACTTGTCTTTATCCATGAACTATTTCGCCACACAAAGGAATGTAGACCTACGCCTATTTTGAGTTATCAATGCTGACATTAACATCATCACCATGACCGTCATCATCACCATCATCATCATCATCATCATCATCATCATCATCATCATCATCATCATCATCATCATCGCTCATCACCAATATCATCATCATCATCATCACCGCCGCCACCATCATTATCATCATCATCATCATCATTTCTCTGAGTTTTATCACACCTCGTTTATACCTCCTTGGTGGTATTGCATTTAAGGCATTCATCTAGCCGACCACTTCGTGGAATACACATTCCTTGATTTATTTAATCGTTACATAAATGTTTTATTTCTACCCCAAACATCGTGTGCTATAGAACATAAAGCTTCTTTTCCTCCAAAAATGGTAAAATAAGTTGGTTCAAACAGATATTTTGTAAGTTTTATAAGTTAAATAATACGAAAGCCTATTCGTGCCACTTAAGTATATAAAATCATCAAAATGTAATCCGAAATTTCGGATTAGTAATCCGAAATAACGGATTAGTAATCCGTTATTTCGAATTAGTAACTCGTTATTTCGGATTACTAATCCGAAATTTCGAATTAATAATTCGTTATTTCGAATTAGTAATCCGTTATTTCGGATTACTAATCCGAAATTTCGAATTAAGTAATTCGTTATTTCGAATTAGTAATTCGTTATTTCGAATTAGTAATCCGTTATTTCGGATTACTAATCCGAAATTTCGAATTATGTAATTCGAAATTTCAAATTAGTAATTCGTTATTTCGAGTTAGTAATCCGAAATAACGAATTACTAATTCGAAATTTCGGATTAGTAATCCGAAATAACGAATAACTAATTCGAAATAACGAATTACTTAATTCGAAATAAATAATTACTAACTCGAAATAACGAATTAGTAATACAAAATAACGAATTACTAACACGAAATAACGAATTACTCTGAGTGAAGAGCCAGTACACATGTGACAAAGATGTGTTTGATCTTTGTTCGATATTATTGAGAGAAAGACAACCGTCTCAACCAAATAATCCTGAAGAGAGTCTGTATTTGTATAATGTTTTACGAATTGCAATAACTGAATTATACGAAAGCCTATTCGTGCCATTTACGTATATAAAATCATCAAAATGTAATCCGAAATAACGGATTAGTAATCCGTTATTTCGAATTAGTAACTCGTTATTTCGGATTAATAATCCAAAATTTCGAATTAGTAATTCGTTATTTCGAATCCGAAATAACGGATTACTAATCCGAAATTTCGAATTAAGTAATTCGTTATTTCGAATTAGTAATTCGTTTTTTCGGATTACGGTACTAATCCGAAATAACGAATTACTAATTCGAAATTTCGGATTAGTAATTCGTTATTTCGGATTACTAATCCGAAATTTCGAATTAGTAATTCGTTTTTTCGAATTAGTAATCCGTTATTTCGGATTACTAATCCGAAATTTCGAATTAAGTAATTCGTTATTTCGAATTAGTAATTCGTTTTTATCGGATTACTAATCCGAAATAACGAATTAATAATTCGAAATTTCGGATTAGTAATCCGAAATAACGAATTACTAACTCAAAATAACGAATTACTCAGGATCGAGGACGTAGGTATAGGCCTAGAGAGAGAGTTGGGACGCGGTAACGTCTTGCCCTTTTTTTCACACATTTCACTCGGTTTCAGTAATTTTGAAAGGAACGCATGAATCATGCTGTCATAATAGCGTTGTTACAAATAAAAAGAACTAACATAATTGTTCATTTAATATTGGCATGTATTTAATAATCTATTCATTATTTACTACAGTGAGAAAAGAAAGAAAAGCAGTATTTACACAGGATCTCAGTAAATAGCTATTAGTAAGGTGATTATGTCTTGCTGAGCTATACTGGAAAAAGGTCTAGTTTATCATAAATTATAGTGTACTGTATAATGTTTGTTTTTGTATTATTAATAAAAAATATTTTCATTAAAATCGAGACAGCTGAAAATAATTATAGGCCTATGTTTTTCTTTAATTCTTTTACGTATAAACTTAAATCTTTTTTGTTGCAGTAATTTTTGTTGTACCTGTTACTGTACACACTGTTTATTGAGAAAAAAAACAGCTTAATTCTCAAAGTAATACTACGAAAGCCTATTCGTGCCACTTAAGTATATAAAATCATCAAAATGTAATCCGAAATTTCGGATTATTAATCCGAAATAACGGATTATTAATCCGTTATTTCGAATTAGTAACTCGTTATTTCGGATTACTAATCCGAAATTTCGAATTAGTAATTCGTTATTTCGAATTAGTAATCCGTTATTTCGGATTACTAATCCGAAATTTCGAATTAAATAATTCGTTATTTCGAATTAGTAATTCGTTATTTCGGATTACTAATCCGAAATTTCGAATTAGTAATTCGTTATTTCGAGTTAGTAATTCGATGATTCATGTGTTCCTTTCAAAATTACTGAAACCGAGTGAAACGTGTGAAAACTAGGGCAAGACGTTACCGCGTCCCAACTCTCTCTCTAGGCCTAGACCTACGTCCTCGCTCCTGAGTAATTCGTTATTTCGAGTTAGTAATTCGTTATTTCGGATTACTAATCCGAAATTTCGAATTAGTAATTCGTTATTTCGAGTTAGTAATTCGAAATAACGAATTACTAACTCGAAATAACGAATTAGTAATCCGAAATAACGAGTTACTAACTCAAAATAACGAATTACTAATTCGAAATTTCGGATTAGTAATCCGAAATAACGAATTACTAATTCGAAATAACGAATTATTTAATTCGAAATAACGGATTACTAACTCGAAATAACGAATTAGTAATATAAAATAACGAATTACTAACTCGAAATAACGAATTACTCTGAGTGAAGAGCCAGTACACATGTGACAAAGATGTGTTTGATCTTTGTTCGATAATAATGAGAGAAAGACAACTGTCTCAACCAAATAATCCTGAAGAGAGTCTGTATTTGTATAATGTTTTACGAATTGCAATAACTGAATTACTTTGAGAATTAAGCTGGTTTTTTTTTTCTCAATAAACAGTGTGTACAGTAACAGGTACAACAAAAATTACTGCAACAAAAAAGATTTAAGTTTATACGTAAAAGAATTAAAGAAAAACATAGGCCTATAATTATTTTCAGCTGTCTCGATTTTAATGAAAATATTTTTTATTAATAATGCAAAAACAAACATTATACAATACACTATAATTTATGATAAACTAGACTTTTTTTCAGTATAGCTCAGTAAGACATACGGTAATCACCATACTAATAGCTATTTATTAAGATCCTGTGTAAATACTGCTTTTCTTTCTTTTCTCACTGTAGTAAATAATGAATAGATTATTAAATACATGCCAATATTAAATGGACAATTATGTTAGTTAAGTTTTATTTGTAACAACGCTATTATGACAGCATGATTCATGTGTTCCTTTCAAAATTACTGAAACCGAGTGAAACGTGTGAAAACTAGGGCAAGACGTTACCGCGTCCCAACTCTCTC